CCCCTCATCCTTCTTCTCCGGGAACAAGAAGACTCTCAACCACCCACCGCGCACCGAAGCAAACGAGCAAAGAAGAGCGGGCGAACATCAGCGCGCGTCAGTGTCCAGCGTGCCTTCACCCCACCTCTGGCGCGTCATCGCACCTTCTTCGCTTCGGGAAAAGACGGTAGCGCGGGCGGGAGTTGCACCACTGAGCGTCTGATCCGACAGTACTTCAAACGTAAGAGGACCTAAGAGAACCCGAAAAGTCGGAGCCGGTCCGTTGGGGTCGTAAAACAAAAACGGGACCCCACAGTACCGCCGAAGAAAGAGGTATCACGACAGCGGGATTCGTGCGGCTTCACGGCGATGGTGAGATGGTGAGAGAGAGGCACAGAGCCGAGTCGGGGTGTGCTTAGTGAGACCGGTGCAGCGCGAGCAAGAAGAAGCCGCGGCCACTGAAGCACGCCCGGGGAGAAGACATACACTCGGGAGGCAAAGTGGAAGACGTGAGAGAGAGGACCGCCCTGGGGAGAAGACGTACACTCGGGGATCAAAAGCGGAGTTGAGAGAGAGAGGACCGCGGCGGCGGTCAATCCTCTTCCCCCGAAATTGAACGCTCCGTTATGACTGCTGTATTTATTACTACAGTGGGTGGAACTTCCAGTTTGGATGCCGCGAGATTGACGGTGCGTTCTATTGGGGGGACGAAGGTAGGTAGTTGCAGAAACCAGGCCAGAGAGGGGTCTAAAGGAAAAGTGGGAAGGAAGGAAGGAAGGACAGACATCGGCGAAATCCGAATTTTCGGAGGCCGCTCCCTTACTTATTTTGTCCTTTTGTGAAGAGACAGAGTTGGGAGACAGCAGGAGCGTAGAGATTGTTATGAAGGTATGTCAGCAGCAAATCCCATCTTCTTTCCACACCGAATCATCGGGAGGTTATATTTATAACTTATGTATATCTGCATGACACTATATACATATATGCTATAAAATTAGTATAAAATACTATAAATTAAATATAGTATTATATATAAATAAATATGTTACGAGTTAGATATGCTATAAATCACATGTAGTATTATTTCCAATATGTGAAGAATTTTGTGTTTGTATATATATTTATATACATATTTATATACATATTTATATACATAATTATATATTTCTATAATCAGGGTTGCCAGGCCGAACGTACGGAGGCCCCTAAGCTGACCCCCGAACGTTCGGGCGTTCGGGTCCCCGTACGGGGCCCGAACTCGAAGGGGTTCGGACCCCACAAAAAAATTGTTTCGTGCCTAAAAATTATTATATTTTTCTGAATTTTTTTTCTGTGAGTTCTTTGTTATGTAAGCTACCTGCCTCTAAATTTTGAAGGCATTCTATGAAGCCAAAAAATAATGACAAATCGGCAAAGATGGTGGTGTCAAAACTTGTTTTCCCACTTACTAATTTGTTTTTTTCTTTTTTCACTTTAAATTTTATTTTCCCTTTATTTCGGGGCATGAATTAATTTATTATTTTTTCATATCTTTATTTATAGGTTCTCTATTATGCACGCTACATATGTATAAAATTTCATGGCATTTGACAAAGCGAAACAAAAATGAAAAATCGCCATTTTGGCATCAAAAACGTCCTCGCCAACACAATAATTTCATTCTCGTTTTCTTTTTTCGTATTTTCATTAATATTATTTATGTTTCGTATTTGATTTTTATTTCAAATTTAGTAACGAAT